TATATATATATATATATATATATATATATATATATATATATATATATATATATATAGATATATATATATATATATATATATATATATATATATATATATATATATATATATATATATATATATATATATATATATATATATATGATCAAATATAAATAATCATTTCACTGCCAAAAAAAGGTTTTCTTAGGTATAGTTTTTGTCATGTCACCTGTCTAAATATCTAAACATTCTAAAATCAAGAAGGATTTTCTAGACAAGCAAAAAAATATTGGATCTTACTCAGGGCATGACATTAACTTTTTAGTTTTCCAACGTTACTAGCCACTCTGCATTTTCACTAGCCACAATTTTGTTGTTGGGAAAATATTTTTATATGCATGAATATGACTTTGACATGCTAAAATAACTTGATTTAGATTTTGTGTTTTGTCGACATGCCTCCTCATTCATTTCACGTTTTGATTGCTATGTATGAGCAAATAGGTCATGGTTTCATAGTGTTATACTTCAATTAGCTTTTATTTCACATGACTTTTCAGAACTCAAAATTAAGGATTTACCAATTTTTTCTCTGACCACTCCAAATAATAATTATTTCTAGCCATAAATTTTTCAATGGGTCAAAACAAGCTAAATATAGCTGTACACTATACTTTTTATTTAACAAAACATTTCTTTGAACAAAACAAAAGAATAACAATTGACTTTTAAAAATAATTATTCTCATGTATTAAAATATACACAGTAATTTGTCCTCGCCAAGGTCTCTCAGATCACCAACACATACATGGAGACTTAATCTCATATTAAAGCAATGTTGTTGCATTAGCATCCCTTTAAGAACCGATCACAGTTGCGTTCCAGGCACTGTTGCTTCAAGCAAGGAAACAGGAGCGCACACTTGCTTTAAACAGTCGCGCGCATCACATTAGCTGTTAGCGAGTGACCATGCCCTCATTCAGAATTCATTTGCTTTCTTCTGCTCGCACGAACGCAATTCTTTTTGTTAGTAGTGCTGTTTCTCGATTCTAAGATCACATTTGCACGCATATTTGGTCATTCTTATTGTCGAACCCTGCTTTTAAGTAAACCACAATTTAAAAATTATTTTCAACCAGCCAAAGTGGCTAGTGGGAGTGACCGTCTAACCCGCCAAAGCTGAAGTCTATCCGCATTTGGCAGGTTGGCGGGTGTTAATATTAAGCCTTG